GTCATGTTATAAGGCCGCTCTGGATCTTAGGATCCAGAGTAAGACATCATTGATAATCAGAAAGGACAACCCACTTGAAGATGGACAGAGACAAGAAAGACCAGTCACTGGTGAGGGAAAAGTCGGGCAAATTAGCAACAGAAACCAACTCAACCCCACAGCTTAGTCATCAACGCAGCCGTGTTGGACGGGAGGAAATGAAGAGGTCTGACAGGGCCCAGGATTGGGAAGAATCCCTGTTGGCACAGACGGGGGAAGTACTTGCCTGCTAATGGAAAGGCTGGTGGCGGGAACCCACCCGGAGGTTGCACAGGAGAAGGGGGCCGTGCGCTGCTCGTGGGAGGGTGACAGATGAGCAAATCCTGTGGGGTAGCACGTGGGTTCACCGCGAGTCGGCATAGACTCAGCGCCAGCTAGCAGCAGCCATCCAGTAGTAGTGAGGCCCCCCTGCGTGGTGCCAGTGGCTAAACTGAAAGGTCCGAGGTGCGAGTCTGCCCCAGAGTCCGCCATTGGAGACGCTGTGGACACAGTTCTACTCCGACACACATGGGGTCCCACCGCAAATTGGAATCACCCCCAGAGCGGTGGTTGCGTTTCAGAGCAATGGAAATAGCTACACGCGACTGGTGTGAAGCTAGAAAACAGGACGGCCTTTCTAGAAAGCCACGTGAAATTACCTTCGGCAGTAGACAGTTGGCATGCTAGACAGCCCAGTCACTTGCAGGCAAGCCTCTAGAACACCCCGTTTCAGACTGCAAAGAGTGACCCATTCATGGGCCTCACCAACGTTTTCAGAAAGGAGACAAAGTAAAACGGGAACGTCCGCTAACTGGTGTGGTGAGAGAAGTATTGGTCTGTGGGCTTGTTATTTTCCATATGCATTCGTCTGTAGGTGCGATGTGAAATGTGTTGCTGCTGCAGACAGAAGCCAAAGCTGCTGAAGACAGGGCCCTGGGAACTCTTGCCCGTGCACCTCAATCAGCTGCACGAAGTGCTCGCCAACTGCAGTCTTCGTAGCAACAAAAAACAGGACAGAGCCCACATGTCCACCGACGGGAGAAGGAACCCAGGCAGGATCACTTATCTGCACCATGGGATATTCCACAGCGTTGAAGATGAGCGTGCTATGGTTATTTGTAGGAATATCGAAGACTCTTAGAAACATAATGTTGAGCAAAGGAATCAAGTTCCAGAAGCCCAGAGTGATCTCATCATCAGGCTCAAGAAACCGACAGCATGTCAATGTACCTCCATGTGACAATGGTGCTCTGGTGGCTCTGGTGGGTAAGCATTGAGCTGCTAACCTCAAGGTTGGAAGTTCAAATCCACCAGCCTCTCGAAGGGAGAAAGATGAGATTTTCTGCTCCCATAGAGATTACAGTCGTAGAAACCCCATCCAGTGTTGCTACGTGTCGAAATCAATTTAATGGCAGTGGGTTTTATTTGGGGGGTTCTCCAGGTGATAAAATGAACCCAGGGGGCACTGTGGGTAAGGTGTTGGGCAGCTAACCACACATTCCACAGTTGAAATCCACAAATCCACCAGCCTTTCCTCAGGAGGAAGATGAGGCTGTCTGCTCCCATGAAGATTTACAGTCTCGGAAACCTTACATAAGGTCTGAATTGCCTGGATGGTAATCGGTTGATCCGTGTGCCAAATAGCCTATGTTTTTTTTAAGAGGTATTGCTCATCTTCAAAAGGAATGAAGTACTGATGTCTGCTACAACTTCGATGAACTCTGAAAACATCAAGCTGAGTGAAAGCCAGACATAACATTTTATGATTTCATTGTATTAGTCTGGGTACTTTGGAGAAACAAATCCACAGCAACTCATGTATAAGAGAGAGTTTTATGTAAAGAAAATGTGCATCACAAAAACATCCCAACCCAATGCTGCCCAAGCCCACAAGTCCAACATTAACCCATTAAACCAACACCAGTCCACAAAGTCCTCCACTTCACAAAACAGGCAATGATGCCGACTGCAGGAGGAAAGCTGAGTCAATGAACGAACAAGCATCTCAGCACTAGCAGGGGTCTCCACACAGCTGCTCCAGCACCCAGGGCTGTATAGGGATAGATCCATGCGGCTTCTCCTTGGGGATGTCTTGTAGAAGTCAATCTTGCAAGCTGAAGCAGGGAACTGCTAAGGCAGCTGCACCCGGTGCAACCATCACAAAACAAGAGACCCGAGAGCTAGAAAGGCGAGGCTCACCACCCATTTATCCCTCCACCTTTCAATTAGCCCCACATGTGATTATCGGCCAGGCTGGCACAATTAAATAACTCATTCATTAAAGAGAAATATCCAGAAGAGGCAAACCTACAGAGATGGAAAGTAGATTGGACCTAGAAGGAGTGGGGTGGCAAGTAGCTGGCAATAGGTATGGGATCTTAGGGGTGGAGGTGTATAAAATATTCTGTAACCTGCTGGTGGAGGCATGGGCGGTATAGATGATTTGTGGTCTACGATTCAAATTTACCAGCTGTTCTGGCAAAACAGAACAAAACAAGGCTGTCTGCTCCAGTAACCCTTTATATCCTCAGAAACCCTAGAGAGAGCTGCTGTGAGCTGGCTCACTGTGGTAGCAGTGGGTTTGGTCCAGGTGCTAACCTCTAGTCTACTGGTGAGAACCTGCCCAAGGAGGGCCTGGTGATCTCCCTCTAACGATTACAGATGAGAAACCCTAAAGTGTCGACTTTTGTGGTATGTGGGCTATAGCCTAGTGGGTTACAAGGCCAGCAGTTCAAAACCACTAGCTGCTCCAAAAAGAGGAAGCTTTCAACTCCCATAAAGATGCCTGATACCTGATCCTGTAGACACCTCATGATCACACAGACTGGTGTGCTTCTTCCATGTGGGCTTTGTTGCTTCTGAGCTAGATGGCTGCTTGTTTATCTTCAAGCCTTTAAGACCCCAGACACTATATCTTTTGATAGCCAGGCACCATCAGCTTTCTTCACCGCATTGGAGGGTTGGACAACAGAAAGGTGTGTGAAGGGAGACATCAGTCAGTGTAAGACATGAAAAAATAATGAAAATTTATAAATTATCAGGGGTTAGTGAGGGAGGGAGGAGGAAGAGAGAAAAAAAGAGCTGATACCAAGGACTCAAGTAGAAAGAAAATGTTTTGAAAATAATGGCAACAAATATATAAATGTGCTTGACACAATGGATGTGTGTATGGGTTGTGATAAGAGCTGTAAGAGCTCCCAGTAAAATGATTTTTTTTAATTAAAAAAAAAAAAGAGAGAAGTCTTAGAGACCCACAGGGACAATTCTACCCTGTCCTGTGGGGTCGCTATGAGTTGTCATAGACTCAGTGGCAGTGAGGGTTTTTTTAAAGTAAAAGAATGATTAAGAAATGCATTTTCATGGCACTGGTAAGTTGGGGAGGGGAGGAGGGGGATGGGTTGGAGAGAAAGAGTGATACTGACAAAGTTTTAGTTGTTAAATTTAGGTGTGTATGGCTGGTGGTGTAGTGGTTACACATTGGTCTGCTAACCTCAAGGTCCAAAGTTCAAAACCACCAGCGGCTCCGAGGGAAAAAGATGGGGCTCTCTGCTCAGGCAGGCAGTCCTACCCTGTCCTGCAGGGCCACTGTGGGCCGGCACCAACTCGATGGTGGTGGGTTGGGTTTGGTAGAGGTTGCTTAGCTTGTTTCCATGCATCATAAGCTGTGTTACATACAAAACAACCTGTACAGTGTGAAAGAAATCGTAAAGATTCGGGAGCCTTAAAAGCAAATGGCTCCTTCAGGCTTTGTGATAAGCATGTTTGTAGTGTTTCCCCAGCCCGTTTGGCTGTGGATGTCCTTGTGCTGCCATCTAGTGGCTGAGAGGTGAAGGCCAACAGCCGCTGCGTCTGACACCTGGGCACGTGCAGCCGCGGAGCAGAGTGTAATTATACGTTCAGGGGGTTCAGGCCACAGCCGGTGCAGCACCCCTTGATAGAGGTCTGGGGCTTTTCTGGCATGGAGACCTTTCCCCTTTCCCTCTCGTCCTTTACTCGGACCAGACCTGCTGCCGTGGGGTCGCTCTGACTCACAGCAGCCCTGTGTAGGCTGTTTGAGTCAGTCTTTACAGGAGCCGACAGCCTCACCTCTCTCTTCAAGAGTGACTGGTGGGTTTCAAGCACTGACCTTTCGGTTAGCAGCCCAACGCCTGGCCCACAGTATCCCTATGCTTGTCTGACCCCAGCCATGAAGCGTGTGTAACGCCTTGACCTCAGTGACCCACCCTCGGTGAGGCTCCCACTGAAGACCAGGAACTTGAGCTCATAAGCAAAGGCCGGGTGTCTTCAGGGGTCCGAGTGATGAAATGCAGAGAACCAGCTCCAGGCTCCCTTTCCTTAACCAAGCACCCCCTGCAGGCTGAGGAAGCATCACAGAGGAGCTGGCGCTGGAAGGGGTGAATAAGCCTTCAGGATTTACCCTACGGCGTATGTAAGCAGCAAACCTCCCTCTCCATCTGGCCGGTTTAAAAAAACCCTGGCCTACCTGCTGCCCATTCAGTCTGGACATAAAGAAGCATTTTGGGCCATGCATGCTGGCAGTGGGGATGCAGGCCAGGATGCCCTGGGGTTGGCCACAGAGGGGCTCAGTTGAGATCACCCCCTAAGCCCTTATGGCCTGGACAGGAGACAGGCAGGGTGCTGGTGGAGTTACTGAGCTGGGTGAGAACCTGGGCTATGCTGGTCACTGTCCTCACCATCACCGAGCCTCTCGGAGCTCTAAGTTCTCGACCTGCAAGGTGGAATTAGTGGTGGTAGCTACTTGTGTATTCAGTCGTGTGTGTGGATTAATTACATTGGTAAGAATTCCAGTGTATGAATTAATGTCCACGGAGCACGCTGAGTCTGATCAACGGCAGCTGCTCCTGGCAGCAGGGATGTGAATTCTCACCTGGAGAGGAGGGCTGGGGTGCCCTCCATCCTGTTAGACTGGTGGTGGGGGCGGGGTCTCCTGTCCTGAGCATCTTTTTCCTCCCTCTCCCCAGACACCATGGAGATGGTACTGATCTTCCTGTGCAGCCTGCTGGCCCCTGCGGTCATGGCCAGTGGTAAGTAGCCCCTCCACTGGGGCAGAGCTAGGCCCGAGATCCAGCTGCAGCCCGCTCTTGTCGAATTTTCTGTGGGAGGTGGGGGCTTCCTTTGGGCCTGAGCCGTAGGGGTCCGACCTGCGCATCAGTCTCATGCCCTGGCGGAGTAGTGGTTGGACTGCTAACCCCAAGGCCGGCAGTTCGACACCACCAGCCGCTCCGAGGGAGACAGATGAGCCTTTCTACTCCCATTAAGAGTTACAGTCTGGGAAACCCACAGGGGCAGGACGTTCTACCCTGTCCTGAAGGGTCACGGGGAATCCAATCGACTCGGCAGTGAATTGGGTTTCGGTTTATTCATTCCATTCTTCCACGAACTTTTTGAAGGCTGTCATAGACCCTGCCTTTGGGGGTGGCCCTGAAAGAGGCGTGTTCTCTGACGTGCATGACATCAGAACCCCAGGGTCTCAGAGCCCTAGCAGGCCCAGCTGCCCTGCTGCTCCCCGGGAACCCCTTGGAGCTGGTGGCACAGGCTGTGTGGCTGTCCCCTCCTGACTGTGCTACATGTTGTCCGCAGCAGCTGAGCAGGAGAAAGAAAAGGACCCTTTTTATTATGGTGAGTGGGGCGGGGCAGGGGTGGGAGGGTGGGTGCTGGGCGGTGCGTTCGGCGTTCCCCCTCTCTCTTATCCTGGTTCCTTTGGCAGACTATCAGAGCCTGCGGATCGGGGGCCTGGTGTTCGCGGTGGTCTTCTTCTCCCTGGGGATCCTCCTCATCCTCAGTAAGTGTGTGTCCCTGGCTCGCACTGCCACCCCGGGGCAGCCGAGCCAGCAAGAACGGGCAAGAGCCTGGCCTGCCCTTCTCTCTTTGGGATAGGGAAGGTGACCCCAGGGCCCAGGCGGTGCTGGATGGGCCCATAGGAAGGGGCCAGTCAAACAGGGACGTGCAGACAAGATAGGGGCAGAGCACAGAGAAGCCTGGGTAAGAGTAAGGGGCAGGGTGCTGTGTCCAGAAGGGCATGAGTGAGAGAGACGCAGGTGGGTGCTAGGTAGTGCCCTGGGGTGCTCCGCAGGCTGGACCCTGAGCTGATATCCCCACATGGTCCTGGTCTGTGCAGAGCCCTCTGTGCTGCAGTGGGAAGCAGTCTGGTAGTGCCACGGGGTAAGCATTGGCCTACTAACTGCAAGGTTGGTGGTTCAAACCCCCCAGCTGCTCTGTGGGAGGAAGAGGAGGCAGCCGGCTCCCTTACAGACGGATAATCTCCAGCACTCCATGGGAAGTTCCACTCTGTCCTCCAAAAACCAGACTCGTGGCCACCGAGTCAGAGCCGACTCCAGCAGCTGCCCGTGGGTGTCCCCGTGGGTGTCGCTCGTAACTGTCCACAGGAGAACAGTCATCAGGAGCTGGGGTCAACTCGATGGACTTGGGTTCCCGCGGTGTGGCCCCCCACGGCTTCTCTGACCTGGAGCTCCGCAGAGAGCTGTGCAGGCTGTGCCCTGCCCGGCCAGGGAGACCATGTCCACGCTTGCGTGACCGCACGGACTTGGGCCACAGCGGAGCCTGACCTTGCGTGGTTCCTTTGCCTTTCAGGTCGGAGGTGCAGGTGCAGCTTCAACCAGAAGCCCCGGTAAGGCTGCCGTGGCCATGACACCTGGGTCATGCGGCCAGGGGACCTGGAGGGGCCGTGTGTGTGGCCCCAAGTGGTGTCCCCTTGGACTTTTGTCTCAGAAAAAGGCTGTGTGCTACGGTCACTGGGGAGAGAAGTTTGAGGGTTTCCAGGCAGACTTGAGGGCAAAAGAGAGCCCCGCCCATCCCTGCCCCTCCTGGTGGATGGGGGGGTGGGGTGGTCAGAAAGGAGCTGGAACCCGGAGACCATTGGTGTGGGAGCAGAGAAGCCTCTCTGAGTGTCCTCTCTGAGTGTGGCCTCTCTCAGTGTCCATCTCTCCTCTGCAGGATGGGGACACTATCCCTCTTTGTCACCTGTTCATCAGGCTCTTTAGGCTGAGCTGATCCCCTCTCCCCCACTTAAAGGTCACATGCCAGCTGTCAAGCCTATGGCAGGACATCTCAAGACACCCCCTTGCTCCCAGCCCCCCCCCCCACGTGGCCCTCGGCCACCCCTCCCCAGGACTCAGTGCCCTAGGGGGCGGTGAGTCCCTGCTGTCCCCACAGCTGACTCCTTCCTCTGCTCCGTGTGCTTGGGTGAGAGTGTGACACCCTCTGGGAACTGAAAGAAAATGATCACAGCGGCCCAGGGGCAGCCAGGGTCTTCCCCGGGGTCCGCTGACGCTGCATGTCCCTTCCTCTCCCAGGGCTCCAGGGGACGAGGAGGCGCAGGCAGAGAACCTCATCACTACGAACGGTACCTCGCGGTCTCCTGTCTGGGGAGCCCCCAGGGGTGGGAGGGGGCGCTCGTGTGGCAGGAGTGGGGCGGTCACCAGGTACCTGAGCAGGCACTTTGTGGGGAGAGCACTAGTCTCGAGCAGGGCAAGCAGCAGGGCAAGGGCTCGGCGCTGCCCTCACCCCGGCCCGTGTGACGCAGGCATTGGCACGCGACTGGGGGGCGGGGGGTCCCCTGCAGGAAGGGATCTGTTTCCTACAACCGTCTTGGTTTTCCCTCCAGCAACGGAGCCCCCGAAAACAGAGAACTGAGGTGCCGCCCTCGGATGGGAAGGTAAGCGGCCCTCCTCCCGCGTCTTCTGTCACCATCGCTGTCCGGGGCGGCCAGGGGGCAGAAACACCGGCCTGGCTCTGCGGTGGGCGGGCGCAGCTTGTACTGGAAGCCTTGCTCTGGAGAGCTTGCCGGTCCTCGTTTCATAGATGCGGACCCTGCGGTCAGACCCTTGGGCATCATCTCGTGCTGTTTCCTGCCTCCACGGGGGTTTCTACAGCCTGGTTGTGGGGAAGTCGATCAGCGGCTGTTTTCCCCAGGATCTCAGGGTTGACTCGAACCGCCAACGTCTTGGTCAGCAGCCAAGCATGCTAGCTGTTTGCACCCCCCGGGTGGGCGGGAGATCAGTTATCTATCAGCTACTTTCTGCCTCTTTTTTTTTTTTTAAGTAAACAGATAGATAACTTTATCCTAAACTATAAATGAAGAGAGACCTGGATGATAACGTAGCTGACGCACCAGCTCGTGCACTTGGGTAGCACGTGGGTGGTTTCGTGGGGACTTCTTTATCGTCAGAGGAGCCCTGGTGGCGTAGTGGTTACACGTTGGGCTGCTAGACACAGGCTAGCAGTTCAAAACCACCAGCCCCTCTGAGGGAGGAAGATGAGGCTTTCTACCCCTGAAAAGATGTAGTCTCGGAAGCCCACAGGGGCAGGTCTCCCCTGACCTGTGGGGTCACTATGAGTCAGTACGGAGTCTGGGTGTTTTTACTATTCTGATAACAGCTGGGGGTGGGCAGAGCAGGGCTCACGACACCCATCCTCTAGTTGGGGCTTAGGAAGGTAAGGTGGAAGTTTGTGGACCCTAGTCTGGGAGCAGGCGCCCCCTCTGACAGCCTCTTGCTCCTCCACTTGTGCCAGCTGGCGGGTTCGATGGAGACAGTGGGACTGGTGGGGCGTCTTCTCAAGAAACGCAGCCGGGAGCCAGGAGTTGCTGTGTCTTTGTACAAAGCTCCACCACCCTGGGCTCCCTAGAGTAGGTATGGGGGGCGGGGGGCTCTGGTAGCTCCTAGCCCTTCTGCTGGAGGGCAGGGTCCTTCCCCACCGTGCCTTGGCACACCACTGTCTGCCATGGGGCCTGTGGAAGGCTGTGCTGCTGGACAGGCCTCGGCAGAGCTACCGAGCCAGACAGGCTAGGAAGAGCTGCCTGGAGACCCGCTTCCAAAAATGGGCCAGAGAACACCCTCCCCGGGTCAGATGATCCAACCCCATCCTGCATGGGGTCATGGTCCCTGAGCTGGGCATCCAGGAGCAGACTTCCCAGAAACCCCTGTCCCTCAGTGTCAGGCCTGTGAGCAAAGATCCGTGATCTCTCTCTCTCTCAAACAGAAAGATCGGGTGCTTGTTAGCACGCGCTCTCTCTCTCTCTCTCTCTCTCTCTCACACACACACACACACACACACCCAAGGTTCTTTCTCTTGGTGCTCACTAGTGCTCACACTCTCTCTTTCTCTCTCTCTGCTCGCTAGCTCTCTCTCTCTCTCTCTCACACACACACACACACCCAAGGTTCTTTCTCTCTCTTGGTGCTCGCTAGTGCTCTCTCTCTCTCTCACACACACAAGGTTCTTTTTCTCAGTGCTCACTAGCACTTTCTCTCTCTCTCTCTCTCTGACACACACACACACACACACAAGGTTCATTCTCTCGGTGTTCACTAGTGCTCACACTCTCTCT